ACAAAGGGAAATTGTTTCCATCAACAGCATCAGTAACACAAAACCCATTCCCATGAGGTCAGGTATGTCCCTCACACTTCCATACCTCTTTTTACTCAACTCAACACCAATCTTACTGCTTTCTGGGTCCAAAATTTTATATCTTAGCTTACAGACCACACAGAACAGTTAGGGAAATTACATAAAAGATTACATAAAATCTAAGTTACTAGCAGAATATAGTCAGGAGAGCACCTGGAATGTGCTGACAGGCACACCAGCCTTGAGCACCATGGCTTTAGGCCAGAATTACAAAGTTGTCATTCTTGCCAGTATTGGCTCCCCATCCCCAGTTATCTCACAAACTTGCTCAAAGACTCTTAGCTTCAGTCTCAATGATGTAGCAGTCCCAAGAACCCACCTCACATTGTCTGTTGTGGCTGTTATGGCTGTTTATGCTGTAGGTCTTCTTGCTTGCACTTTTCCTGGTGGTAAGGTTTTTCCCTTCTTCTTTGGTGGGGATGGTCTCTCCTTCTGCAGCTAAGTTATTTCAGTTAATTTAATAGCAAAACTATCCAACCTTCCAGTGGATTGGTAGATAGCCAATTCTCTTGTAATGGGCTAATATACCCTACTCACATATTCTCACCCATGTACATGGCAAAGTCAACGATGGTTGGGAAAGACGCATTGAAAGGTAAATTCCACAGGCAGTCTTCTCCTATGTAATTTACTGCCTCTGAAGACCTGCTGGAATGTCAGCTATGCATAGGTTTTAACTCAATCATACACAACAACAAAAAGGGAATTAGGTTACTTTTCCCCTGTTTTATTATCAACTTATCAGTTAAATGATCTACTGAAAATATGTCTACCAAAGTGAAACAGTCTATGGGCGAAAAAAAGAAAAAAGAAGAATAATACAGGAAGTATCCAAAGAATATAGAAGTAATGCATGGAATAATTGTATAAAAATAATTTATTGGCATGGAGCCATTTCAGAAAGCAAGAACCAGTAGTACTAAAGAAAGAAGTTCAAGCTGCAATGAAGGAATTGGCAAAAAAACCCAACGAATTGATGGAATACCAACTGAAGTGTATCAGGAACAGAAAGATCCTGTCTTACATATGTTCTTCACTCTATGCCAACAAATTTGTAAGACAATTGCATTCACAATTCATTCTGCAAAGATTAGTAGTAGACTAATTATTAAAAAGCAGAAGTCAACAATGTCCCAAATGTTTGATTTACTGCACTTCACCAGGATTTCCAACATTGATTGTTACTCTTTCATCCATTTGCTCCACTCCTCTATGTCCCTTGTGTTCTGTCGTTTCCTGGATGATCTGGCAGAAACTCAGACCCATTAGAGAAATTACTCCCATAACTGTGGGTGATACCAGCTGGTATTGCAGAGATGATGAGTGATGGATTAGAATCCTATTGACTGTCAGTTGCTGCACAGCTGGATGCTGTGTCCCAGGAGAGCATGTTTCTTTAAAGATTGTAAGGATTGAGCATCCACATGTTTATATAGGGAAATCTCTGGTGTCTTAATGGTAAGGAAATGCATTGGCAATGCAAAAATATGTAATTCAAATCCAGCAGCTCCTCCTATGAGATTTACTGCCTCTGAAAACTTTCTGTATGACACTGTGAGTTGGTTTGACTCCATATTATGCACCACCAACAATAACAAGTAGGATAGCACTTGTATCCCACTCTACTTCTGTCTCATTAATACTATACATAATTCATCACAAGTTAATCAATGGCTATAAAAGCAATATTGAACAACAACTTTGACACCACAACTCTGGCCAATCAAATTGAAAAGATCCACATGTTTTTCTAGTCTAAAAAAGGTGATACAACAGAGTGCAGAAATTATCAAATGCTGTTATTAATAATCATATGAAAATAAAATATTGGTGAAGTCTATTAAAAAATGACTGGAAGAAGTACATTGACAAAGAACTGTCAGAAATGGGATTCTTTTTTTTTTTCTTCTTTTTTTTATTTTTAGAAACTGGATTCTTGAGTCCATAACATGTGGGATATTGCTGATGTCAGATGGATTTTGACTGAAAGTTGAAAATACTAGCAAGATACTTACTTGTGTTTTTGACTATGCAAAGATATTCAACTATGTACATCATAACAAATTATAGCATTAAGAGGTATGAGAATCCAAGAACACTTAATTGTTCTCATTTAAACCTATTCATAGACCAAGAAGTAATTCTCCAAAGAGAATAACGGAACACTGCATGGTTTAAAATCAAGAAATGTGTGAGCCAGGCTTGTGTTCCTTCTCCATACCTATCCAATCTATATGCTGAGCAAATCATTTGAGAGTCTGGACTATAAAGCAGAATGTTGTATCTGGACTGGAGGAAGACATATTAACAACCTGCATTATGCAGATGACACAACCTTGCTTGCAGAAAATGAAGAAGACTTAACACACTTACTGATTAGTATCAAAGATTACAAACTTTAATTTGGATTACTTCTAACATCAAGAAAACAAAAATTTTTACCACTAGACCATGAGCAACTTCATGATAGGGTAGAGAACTTAATGCTTACATTTTACGTGGATCTACAATCAGCACTCGTAGTAACAGTAGTCAAGAAATCAAAGGAATGAATGAATGAATGAAAATACACCTTTTTTGTAAACTTTCATTAAAATTACAATTATTTTAAAAAAGGGAAAGAAAAATTATTACACCGGGAAAATCTTCTTTCAAGGACCCAGCCAAAATTCTAAAAAGCAAGAATATCAATGTAAAGACAAATTGTACTTGGCCCAAGCCACCACATTTTCAGTTATTTAGTATGTATATAAAAGTTGAACACTGGATGAGTATATAAAGAGCAAAGGGAACATAGTTACAGCCATATCTGTTCTTTAACAATTTCATAAAGGAACAATGTCTCAGGCAACAACATCAGCAACACAAAATCAATTCTCATGATATCAGACTTGTTCCCCACACTCTCATGCTTCTTTCTACTCATTTCAACACCATTCTTACTGCTTACTGTATCCAAAATCTGCTGCAATAGCTCACAGACCACACAGAATATATTAGGGGAGTCAAAAGATTATAATCCAGATTAATAGCAGAATACAGTCAAGATAGCTTCTGAAATGTGCTCACAATTGTCTCAGCCTCGAGCCTTGCATCTTCAGGCCAGTGTTACAAAGCTCTCAGTCCTTCCAGTATTGCTTCACCCACCCCCATCTTGCCCCAGTCTCCAACAAACTTGGACAAAAGGTTCTTAGCTCTCCTTCCATAGAGTGTAACAATCAGCTCCATCTCATGTTGGGTCTCAGGTCCTCTTTGACCATAGCTGCTGCGGCCATAGGTCTGGCTGATTCAAGAATTTCTGGACCCAAAGTACATGCTATATTCTCCTGCTTCTTCCTTGTTAGTGGGGAAGATCTTTCTCTCTGCTGCTGGGTCCATTCAATTTAAGGTCATGACTAGCTGATCTCCTTTTGGATTGATGAGACTAGCCGGTCCTTTTTGTGATAGACTAATATGCCCTATACACATATTCCCACCCATCCACTTGGTAAAATAAAGTTCAGTGGCTGGGAAAGTTATTTTGAATAAGGAAGACTGAATAATCAATGCCCTTGAAATGTGGTGTTGGAGAAGAGTATTGAATGACTACAAAATACAAACAAATCTGTCTTAGAGACAGTGCAGAGTGTTGTTAGAGTCATGGATGATAAAACTTGGAGACAGATACTTTGGGGATATTGTCAGGAGGGGCCAATCCTTGCAAAGAGATATAATGCTGGGAATGTTGAAGATTCAACAAAAAAGAAAACGACTCTCAATGAGATAGACTGATACAGTGATTTAAACAATGGGTTTGAGGATAATGGAAATTGTGATGATGACACAGAGTAGGTCTAGAGTCAGATTTTATTAAAAGAGTCACAATGAATTGTCTACTCCATAGCACCTAACAACAATTAAAGCAACTTAAATGAACTTGAAATAGAATCAGGAACTACCCTCTAGGAAAATATTTGCTTTACATTTTAATTTTTAGTGCTGAAATTTTGTCTATTTCTGAAGTTAATATTATATGTAGGGAACAATATGAAATGATGTTTGCTTTTTAAAATAATTATTTTTCTTTGAGACATTCTTGATGTTGTTTCATGCTGTTGCGTTGGCTATGACTCATATAGACTCTATGAACAATAGATCTGAATCCTGCTTTATCCTGTGCTGTTCTCATCAAGTCTGACATAGTCGAGCTCTTTGTTACAGTCATTAGCTTATTCGGCCTTTTCTTTTTTTTTCCTGACCCTCCATTACTGATCATTGTTTTAACTGAATACAGATTATCCATGTTAGCATTTAGCATTTAACAAACAATAAGTAAACAGAATGTCTAAAGTATTAAAGGTACATAAATATGTCCAGTAGATAGCACAATGTGCATTAAGGGCAACTAAACTATAATAAATGACTTCAAAATTTCTCTAAGACAATGTCACAAAATATTTATGAAAAATATAAAACACAAATATTTGTGTCTGTATGTGTAATATGTTATGAAGAATAATATTTCAAGATATTAATAAGTAATGGATGTAGGAGTGTCAGAGACAATGAGGTTAGTACATGATAGAGCAGAGTTTAGGGTTCTTGTACATTAGGCATGTAACAACAATAACAACTATATTAATATTTTAAGCTATTTGGAGTAAAGCTGATTTATGAAGACAGAGTCGTTTAGGCTATAGTCTTTCCTATATTTTTTTCTTTAATCATTTGAAAAATATGTTGAAGAATATTGGAAGTATTATTTAAACAAAGATCAAGAGTTACTCACTGGAATTTCAATGACTGTATCATGGACTGCCCTTGCACATGTATATGTTTAAGAAAATCATGTACTTTAATAATTGTTTTGTAATAAGTAAGTTTCTTTGTTTATTTCTCTAATAAATTCTTTTCCCTCATTTATTTTTATTTTATTAAAGGTCTCATTCGGTTGCAAGAACTCATCAAAGCTCCTTCAAGATACAATCTCAGACTTAAAATTCGCCAGTTACCTGCTGATACAAAGGATGCAAAACCCCTACTAAAAGAGATGAAACGAGGCAAGGAATTCCATGTCATTTTTGACTGTAGCCATGAAATGGCAGCAGGCATTTTGAAACAGGTAATCATTTACTTTTTTAAAATTCTTAGTATATTCATGTTGTTTGTTTTTTCTAAGTGCTATTAGGAGTAGCATCCACGTCCTAAACAAAATACCTCCAGAACTCTATGAACTTTGATAAATGTCAATAGTTGTAGAAGGGCTTCAGGCCTTTTGTTCATAGCATTGTTATGAGTTTTGCTTGACATGAAGGCAATCAACAACAACAACATTTGATCATATAGTATGTTAAAAAAAACTCAGGGTTATCAACTTCTTGTAATTTTAATTTTCAGACAATTACTTTCACTAGAAGCAAGAATTTTTTAAAAGAAATAGTGTAAATACTGATGATTTTCAAAATAGATTGCTTAAAGTTTTGAGATTTTACTTAAAAGCAGAACTGTTAAAATAATAACCTATCTTAGAAGGAGTGCAACTAGGGTAGTTATTAGAGACAAGAGTGTTAAAATTCCATCTCATATATTTTGGACATTTTGTCAGGAGGGGGCAGGCCTTGGAAACATATCATGCTAGGGAAGGTAGAAGGTTATGAAAAGAGAGGAAGACTTTAAACAAGGTTAGTTAACACTGTGATAGAAGCAATGAACTTGGGTGTGTAGGAAATGATGAGGAAGGTGCCAGAGAAGATAACGTTCCCATCTATTGTTCATAGGCTCACTGTTAGTCTTAAATACACTTCACAGTATCCACTATGACAACAATAGCAATCAAAAAAGCTATGTTTGTTAAATTTCAATGTTTTAATGTAATTGCTGATATATGCTATTGAGTTAACTATGAGTAATTATGACCTATAAACTATGTCTCTGAAGAATAAAGGCAGCCACAGGACAACCATATCTGACTTCTACTAACTCCCCATAAGAAACTGTGTCCAACAACCACATCTGCAACACGGAACCAATTCCCATGAGGTCAGAAATATCTCCCACCTCTCTGTACCTCTTTCTGCTCATCCCAACACAACTATTACTGCTCTATTGCGTCCAGAATCCATTGTAATAGCTCATAGAACACATGGACCTGTACTCATGATCACTGTTGTTGTTAGATGCTGTAAACCCTGGTATGACTCATAGCAACCCGACGAAAACCGATCTGAACAGAGTCCTATTCCATACCATCCTCACAAATTCTGTCACACTCAAGCTGATTACCACAGTCACCATGTCATCCTGCCTAGTTGATGGTTCTTCTCTCTACTGCAGTTCCTTAAGGAATTCAAAAGGCTATAATTCATGTTGGTACTAGATACAATGACTCAGTCGGCACGGCTTGTGAAATGTTCTTACAGGCATTTCAACCTTCAGCCTTGCCACCGTAGTTCAGTGTTACAGAGCTCTTAGTCCTGCCAATTATGACAGTTCACACCCTCTAGTCATCTATATGGACCACCCTCTGACTCTTATATGCTTATCCATACATCTGAGCATGCTAGGTCAATAGTGTTAATGGAACACCACCAGAATTGGCCATCTCTTTATGCTTGCATTCCTCATACTTCCACTCAGCTGAATCCAGGTGGTCACCACAAGTGAGCATCCTCATCAGCTCCCTTCAGTTTCACGTCATGGAAAGGTGCTCTGATGGGCACCAATATTTCCTTTTCTCATAACATTGGAAATAAAAATCAAAGAGTCAGTCTCTCTCTCTCTCTTCCTTTTTCTAGCCACTATTACACATGTAAATCTCTTTCATAAGAAGTTCAAAGAGGGTTTACAAATCCATTCAAATGCAGACTTCCTCAGAGTACTGGGTGTGACTTAATTCTTCCCCTAGACTCAGCCCCTGTACATACTAAGAAATTCTACTACTTTAAGCATTCTTTTAGGGAAAATGCTGTTTTGTGGATGCCTACTTAATAATTAGCTGAAAGTGGGCTCACATTCTTTCTAAAATCGATAATATTTTCTATCATTGTAACACCCAGTAATCATTAACATTGAAAAACACATCAGTATCCATTAAACACATGCTTTCCACAGTGTACAGTTATAACAACATTTAGTTTAGGCAAATCAACAAAAAAAAACAGATCTTTTTTACAGTGCATCAACATTAAATTAGCCAAAAATCTTAATCATTTATATAATATATATTAATATTACTATATGGAAGAAATGGAGACAGCAATATGCCTAAAATCAAATCAACAAAAACCTTAACACAAACTTTTACAGAAATTTTTAGTTTCAATGTAATTCTCCATCCTTATGCCTCTGCCCATTGCCTCAGGCCAAAAGCAGTTTCTTAACTTTTCTTCCATTTTAGTCAGAAAACATAGTCATTTAGCTATACTTCCTAAGCCCCTAATTTCTTACCTTTACAAATTCCACACTTGCATCAGTCTGGAAGCATTGAAACAAATCCTGCATCTGATACCAACTGTAAATACAGTAAGGGCCACATGGGGATGAACATTTATGACTTATGACAGCGCCTCAAAGGGGAAATGTCCTCATCACCATTCCAGTTATGACTGTCTTCTGCACCGTAACAAGCTTGGGCAAAATCTCCTAACTCTGGTTCCATAAGGTAGCAGTCGCAAAGTAAGTTCTGTCTTATGTCATGCCTCTGATTCTCTGCTGACACTGCTGCTACTTTTCTATGGATCTGACTGGCACAAGAATCTTGGATCATGAAAGGTATGCTGCATTATGTGCTACTTTTTTGCTGGTGGAGAGATTCTGAAAATCTGCCACTGAATTTGCTCAATTTATATTTACAAACCATATTCATGCATTCCTACCCATTCACATAGCAAAGGCAAACTCAAAGTCAATGACTGAGAAAGCCTACTTATTTTGACCAAGAACCCCTTAACACCATAGGTAGATAGTTCTGATTTGCACTGAATTGAATGAAGAATACTAGTCAATGGAGCAATGCAACCATTATTATCAATAAGTATGGAAAAAGTTAAAGCCAGCTATTATGAAAACACCTTAAATAATTTAGCTTATATCTATTATTGCAACTAAATGATAGGCTTTTTCCACTTTCCAAATGAAGAACTTGTATCTCAATAAACTTTTCTAACCTTATCACACAATAGTAATGAGGAGCATTTATATTTTATCTACTTATAATAACACATTTATTTTAGTTAATGTACTGTAAATTAGAGAACATGTGAACTTTTCCACATTTTGTTGGATCACTTTTTTTGGAATGAGAATAAATATTAATCTCTTTCAGTCGGTTAGCCATATGAAGCTGTCCTCTAGATTTCTTGGCACAACCATGAGGGCACATCCAGAACCATATCTATTTGTTGAAATATGTCAATTGCTATTCCATCAATTCCTGGAGCCTTATTTTTGCTAAATTCTTCAGAGTAGCTTGAACTGACTCCTTTATTACTATTGGTTCTTGATCATAAGCTACTTCCTAAAATAGTTTTGTGTCAGGCAATCTTTTTGGTACAGTGAATCCATGTATTCCATATATATAATTTTTTTTTCTTCTTGGATCATTCAAGTTTTGGCCCTTAGCATCTTTAAGTATTACAACTTGTGTCTTGAATTTGAACTTTCATAATTTTGAAAAATGTCAAGTTCTTCCTTTCCTCGCCTCTGTCTCTAGCTCTTTGTATATTTTGTTTTAACACATTGCTTTGTCTTCATAAGTTGCCCTATGAAATCATCATTACTTCCTAATTATTTCCCTTTGTTTTGATTTCCTGGCATTCTAGTGCAGTATGCAGAGTCTCTTATGACATCCATTTCCCTTTTCTTCTTCCTTTGTCTTGTAATAACTTTTTGCTTTCTTCGTAGATGGCGTACTTTTATGTCATAACATAACTCATCTGGTCTTCATTCACTAATATTCAATGCCCCAAGCCTATTCTTTTTTTTTTAAAATTTTTTTATTTTTGTGTGAGTGTACCGTCAAATCAGATCTGACTGGTACAGGAGGAGATTGTCCCTCCTTTTCCCGGCAGAGCATCTGGTGGATTTGAACCATATGCCTCTGGGATTGTAGTTGCAGCTCCTTACCACTAGGCCACCAGAGCTCCCCTCCAAGCCTATTCTTGAGAAAGTTTTATAAATCAGATGATATTGACTCAAAGTCATATTTTGGTTTTTGTAGGAAATTATCAAGACTACTAGAACAGTACATTGACAGAGAACTGGCAAAAAAACCACGCTGTGTTTAGAAAGGCCATATCATTATGGATATTGTTGATGTTAGATGGATCCTAGCTGAAAACAGAAGGAAGCCACAAGGATGTCCATTTGTTTTGTTTATTTTTCCTTGATCACATTCTTTTTTTTTTAAACTAGTTTATTTACAAAATTTGAACACATTGCTTTTCAGAACAGATTTTTTCAATTTACCTCAACTCCCACCCTTCAAATTGTACAACCTCATAATAAATCTCCCCCTCCCCCTGCACATCTTCATCCTTCAGCTCCCACCCTCCCCAACCTCTGCCACCTGATCCTTATACTCATTCTAGAAAAATGGTTTTATACAATATTTGTCCTTGTGGGACTGAGTTAGTTAACTCAGCATAATGCTCTCCAGTCCCTCTCAAATTAGGTAATAATTTACAAAATCATAGCTTTTACGTGCTGTGTAGTATTCCATTATGTGTCTATTTGTGTTTTATCAACTATTCAAAGGCATTTGGGGTCATAACAAATTGTGGCTAGCATTGAGAAATATTAGATTATCAGAAGTTTGTGCTTGTGCGAAACCTATACCTATACTAAAAGGCTGCTTAACAAACCAAAGGCACTTCTTTGTTCAAAATCAAGAAAGAAGATATAAGGGATGTATCCTTTCTCCATATTGTTTTTATTCTATATACTGAACAGATCATTTGAGAGGTTGAACTTTATGAAGAAAAATATAGCCTCAATATTGGAAGAACACTGATCAACAACCTCCATTATGAAGATGACAAAATCTTGCTCACTGAATCTGAGGAGAACTTGAAGCATTTGCTACAGCAGATCAAGGACTACCACTTCAATATAGATTATATCTCA